TCACACACACACACACACACACTCACATACTCTCTCACGCACACACACACACTCACACACACTCTCACACACACACACATACTCTTTCACACACACACTCTCACACACACTCATAGTTATTAATGTTCGATGTTGAAGCAGACGTCTGCGTTCGTTTCATTCTTATTGAGAGACGTGTTTCTGTCTTTGTTTACAGTCTCTGACTCCTCCCCCTGATGTGACTGAACATGTTGCATTAAACTCACCCTGTCTGTTGTTGCTCCGCCCCCCAGGCCAACACCAGCCCCCCAAAGCTGAACAGGGAGGAGGTCAAAGGTCGCGGCGCTCTGCTGTCCGACATCTGTAAAGGCACCAAACTGAGGAAGGTGTCGGTGAACGACCGCAGCGCTCCGCTGCTCGACAGTAAGATTCAAACACCAAAGAGCCAAACACCTTCCACAGAGCACCCATACATTCGCTTATACCAATACCTGCACCAGCAACCGAGCCAGTCCAGACAGCAGGGGGCGGCGTCAGAGGAGCAGAAGAAGACGGCGGGAGAGGAGCACTCTGCTCTGTCCCTGGAGAGTAAGACAACCAACCTTCTGTGATACTGAGGCTGTCTGCAGGAGGCTCAGGGTCAGAGGTCACACAGACGCCAGGGAACACACACGTCTTGACCACGCTGGTCATCACACTGTCCCCGATTTATAAAACTATCCAGGTCCTCACAAACACAGACAAAGCAGTGGTCAGTGTTTGTTGAGCCACAGTTTGATGCAGTGATTTGAAAACAGATGCAGGCTTTTGTCCTCACACTTACAGGAAGTCTCTGAATTTATTGTCTCTTAAGACTTTTAGTGACAGAAAGGACACACAGAGGCTACGCCCACAAACCTGAAAACACGTCATGTGACCATTCACTTACACAACAGGAAGTAGATGGAATCTGCAGTTGGTTGCTTAGTAACAGAAACTCCTCTGAAGGAGGAGCAGTGATGGTGAGAAGTCAGAGCAGAGATTTCTTTTCTCTGAGCGACGACGAGGTGGAACTGTTCCTGACAGGAAGTGTGACGTCTGCGTCGTCACTAACAAAAGTCTCAGTTACTGTTCAGACTAAAACACAAAACCAGAGTTTTCAAACTAAAACCAGATCAGTTCACACACGTCTCTGATCCAGATTGTGATGACTGTGTAAACAGGAGATGTGACTCGACTCATTGTTTTTGTGCTTGTTTTTATTCGTGTTTATTTGTCATTTTAATTTCTGACATGATTGAAGGAACAGGTTCAAAATCAGTGCATCAAACTCTCTCTCTGTGTGTGTGTGTGTGTGTGTGTGTGTGTGTGTGTGTGTGTGTGTGTGTGTGACATCAGATCCTGTAGCGTCCTGCACAGCTGCTGCACTGTTGAAAAATAATCTTTGTCGTCACAACGTTTCTTCGACTTCGGTGAAAACCGTCACAAGGTCGGAGAAAAGATGTGACTGTTAAACTCGTGACAAACCTGTGCTTCATTAGAGACTTTTTATAAAAACTGACGGAGACTCTGGGTCCAGAGAGTGAAGCCAGTGTGTGAGTGCCTTGTATCTGTATTCTCTCTGTGACCAGCAGGGGGCGACTCCACTGGTAGTTTCTATAGAAGTCTACAGAAAATGACTCTTCACTTTATAACGTCAGTAAACATTTTCCTCAGGAATTTATATCTCAACCTCTAGTTTCACTCACCTGTCCTCTCGTCCACTCTCTGTCCTCTCGTCCACTCTCTGTCCT